CCAATCCACAAGATTATTTTTGGCAATATGAAGTTCAGGTGAGTTGGGTTTCAGGGTCTCACCATCCACCAAAAAGATCCTCCAATCAGCGACAGGACGGAAGTTGAACACATGATCTTGTGAACCATGAAGAGATTATGAACTAGTACAAATTGGTTGTGGTAATAAGCAAAAGGGTGTAGTTGTTGTTGGTTACAATGCTTTTGCAAAAGAGTGTAGTTGTAGTGGTAATGAAGAAGAGTACTCGAAGTCGGTGGATTGCAGAGAAATCAAATACTGCAAGTTGCAACCACTACAAGAAAATCTTGCAGCTAGTGAACTAGGGCTTCATTTAACTTTTTGGAGAAAGAAAAAAACAAATTTTGGTTATATTGTAAGGCGTCCTATTTTAAATGTACAAAGATACTATAGAAGTATATGTTCTAAATTGAGAGAGATAAAAATGCAATTATTATAAATTCTTGCTCAAACTATATTGTTTGTTAAGAGTCTCACATTGGATAATATATGATCTGAACATGTGTTTATAAGGTAGAAGTAATCCTTATCTTACAAATCAGTTTTGTAGGGATGAGTTAAACTCAACCCACACATTCTAAGATTGTTCTTGTTTTCGTTGCATGAAAAGATCATAAACCTTACTACAAAATTAGAGAAACAACCTTGATATTATGCTAGTTGAATAAATTATCAGTGTACAATGTGTTAATCTTATATCATGCCAAAGTGAATAAATTTATATTCAAACAAATTATAATTATGGAGATTAGGCTCACAGGGTCATTGTTATGTATTCTTTCATCATTTAACTGAAATTATAAATACTGATGTCTCATATAGTTGCAGGTTAGGAAATAAAATGCAAGGATGTCTGTATCCTCATTTGATGATACACGAAGATGGTGAAGAGGAAATGGATAGCAAAACAGAGTGTTATGTTGAAGGTGAAGCAATATTCCTCTTAAGCAAGTCTCATATAGACTATTTTTCAAATTTTATAAGAATTTATAAATTTTAAAGAGGATTTCTTTTTTCATTATATAATATAAAGAAATATTCTATGCATTTCCTAAAATGTCTTTGGAAACCAGAAATATATTTTCAGTGTGTATCTTTTTTAAGTTGAACTTACGTAGAAATCGAAAATACATTTCTAGAAATTCCCGAAAATATATTGGTGCATGCAACTTAGCTACAAAAATAAAAAGGGAAGCTCCTAATTATCTATTTTAAAAGTTCTTATCATTAAGGAGAGCGAGGAGATTGTCTCCCATGTAAAGTGTGTGCAGTGTGATCTGTACCACACAAAAATAATATAAAATATTTGAATGTAGATTTTAAAGGTTAGATATGTGATTGTTCTCTCTTCAGTGAAATTTTCACTGGAGGCAATTCATTCCTATTGGGAGGGGAGGAGATTGTCTCCCGTGTAAAGTGTGTGCAGTGAGATTTGTACCACACAAAAATAGTATAAAATATTTGAAGGTAAATTTTAAAGGTTAGATATGTGAGAGATTTATACCACACAAAAATAGTATAAAATATTTGAAAGTAGATTTTAAAGGTTAAATATATGACTGTTCTCTCTTCAGTAAAATTTTCACAGGAGGCAATTCATTTCCATTAAGAGAAAAGGAGATTGTCTCCCGTGTAAAGCGTGTGCAGTGAGATATGTACCACAAAAATAGTACAAAATATTTGAAAGTAGATTTTAAATATTAGATGTGATTGTTCTCTCTCCAGTAAAATTTTCACCGGAAACAATTCGTTCCCATTGGCAATACTTTATACAAAGGATTTTCATGCACATACTACATGCATGCTACTCAGTGTTTAGTGTATAAAAACAAAATAAAATTCAGGTCATTTAACTACTATCTTAGAAAGGAATAATGCATATCTCAAAAGCTTTGTTGCATCTTCAGCATTAGGATTTGTTGCAGTTGGCTTCCGCTTATCAACTTTTGATATGCTCAAGGCAGCAGGTGTTGTTGGTTGGCCACCATTGATGTCACTTCTTACTCGCTCATGAGTCCCAATTAGGATGTTGTTATGTTATTGTTTATTAGGAATTGGAAATACATTTTCGGAAATTTCCAGAAGTGTATTTTTAGAATAAATTTTATCATAAAATAAGGCGAATTTCAAAAAACGAATGAATTATGTGTGTGGATGCGCACCGAAAATATATTTTCAGTTTTTAGAATTATTTTTGGAATTTTGAGTAGTGCACTGGAAAAGCATAGGATGGAGAAAAAAATCATCTTAAAAATACATGGGCTATAGCTTAAATAAAATATAGTAATAATGAACCTATTGGACTGGACTTATATAAAATATGATGTAGTGTTACTTTAGCATGTAGCAGGTCACGTCATTAATAAGGCGCCACGAGGTAAAATTTATGGATTAAAAAATTGCATTTAAGTCAACCTTCTATTTGTGATCTTACCAATCAATTATTTTTTATTGATTACCAATCAATTATTTATGTTGTCTAATCAATTAGTCTAATCGATCATGACATTGAATATGTTTATGGATTGTTTCCAAATTTATACCACACCTTGTCCTATAATTAGAAAAAATTTCTATCATTTTTTCACATCCAAAAAACGAGATTAAACCTCACTTTTCGTTTCTCTTATCATCTCTTTAAATATCTCATTTTTCTCACATATTTTAACCAGAATACTTCAAGAGTGTTCATGAGTCTAATTGAGAATAATTGTTTTAGGTGAGGGCAAAATTGTAAATTTAACAAGAGTGAATTTTCTCTGGAGTAAATAATTTTTTTTGTAGGAAATTGTTATTTTGGTTGCAAGCTAAACCAATTAAAATCTCTTGTATCTTTAGGGGATTGTGTTAGAAAGTCTCTGTTTGATTTGTGAGTTTCGCCTTGAAGAAAAAATTCTTTTTTAGTTTGTGAAGATCAACTAGTGAAAATCTCCACAATGATTCTTGAGTTTAACCCAGTTAAAAGTTCTATCGGTTTGAGATCAACCCAATTAAAACCTCTATTGGTTTTTGAGTTCATGCTGATGTAAAAGCTCAGTAAATTCAAGATTAAACTGGTAAAAATTTAGGTTTGGTTCGTGATCGGCCTATGTAAAATCTCAGTTCGATCGGGAGGATAACCAGCTCAAAACTCTATCTTAGTTCAAGATCATCCCGTAGAAAATCTCTTTTTAGTTTGAAGATTAACCGCTCTAAAACCGTGTTTGCTGTTTAGTTCGAAATTAACTTAAAAATTTATTTCCTAATATAAGAAAGTTTGTGTACACAGTTTTCCAAAAACTTTCAAATTTAGTGGATACTTTCCAGAATAATTCTTAAAAATAAGAATAGATCACTTTAAAACTGAACCAATATAATTGTCGGATGCTTTTCTCTTCCCTTATCCCTTTTACTTCAAAGTATTTTTCTTTCTTTTGATTTTTCATTGCAATTTATTCATTTCTTTTACAAAATTTGATGTTTTAAATCAAAGTTTTTCAAACCACATGACTCATTCTCTCATATGTTATTCGACCCACTTGTTTACCAATATGTGGCCGTTGTGTTTTCGACCCATCTGTCTACCAATATGATGAGTAATCTTATTCATCATTTTATTATTGATATCATTCATATGTAGCATAGATTATTACAACGTGGTATTAGTGTTGGGATAATGTGTTTGATTCTCCAAAAGCCTGTGGAAGAAACCATCGTTGTTAGTTTCTGATTGGGGGCTTGAACTCAAAAATCCCTTGCCTGATACGAGACACGGAAACTGGTAAGTGTGACATGCATAGTGTGAGTACCTTATACAATGGGAGCAAACCCTGGTGATAATCCATATGGAGATATTGCGGTATTGATACTTTAATCGGATGGAATTTGTAGTATGAAATTAACAAACTTTGTCACATTGAGCATACTAATTAGTCCGCGTAATTGCAAATATTAATTCTTCGAATCGGGTAGGATCACAAGGAACTGTCTAAGATCGAAATCGAACTCAGAAAGTCTAGTTAAACTGGAAGAGATTCTTTACTATCTCATCCTAGTACTTTTGGATAGTTCCTCTTGCATTCTATGTCGACACATTTATAGTTCAAATTCTTAAAAAGGTACTTACAAGCTTCAAGCATAAGAAATTTAAATAAATAGAGGTCTAATAATATATGAATGAAACTAGTGGTGCAAATGCAAAGTAAAACTTAGAGTCGTAAAGATATTGTTAAATTATTAAAATTTAGCTATATACTCCATGTCCAATGACTCGAATATTTTAAATTCTAAAAGAAATGATGTTTGCATTTTTTGGACAAGCAAAGTAAAAGAAATGAACTCTCTAATTGTGGCTTTGTTCTACCTATTTATAGTAAATAAAGACAGGTTGCATGTTTTGCATATGTCCTTGTCGCCAACTTATTGTCTCTAATCTTCAACAAGCTTCCAAAACAATTTTTGCATGTGTCGTACCTTACTTTCTTTCTTCATCCTACATTTATCTTTGATCAACTATTCACATGTCTAGTTTAAAATTCTATTTTCGAATTTTTGAATATAACAGACACACAGAATAGATAGGTTTGATAAACCGCATTCTAACACAAATTATGCCTAAGTGTTACTGTTTTCTAATAGGAGATAAGCTCATAATGAGATCACACCAAAATAGATTCTCAGTAAACAAGACATTAAGCTCGTATTCATCACTTTAGTCATTTAGTCACTAAACAACCCAATTGCACTCCAGTGCAAACATTTACTGTAAAAATCAGCTGCTAAGAACCATCTAATAACAGCATGCAACTCCCAATTTGCAAAAATGGTCAATCAAATTCAAATATCTAAATGAATGTCAAGGAGCATTACTTCATGTCTAAAACAGCATATCCAAATTCTCAGATTTCTAAAAAGTTAAATGTTTGACCAACTATTCATTGTCATTCTATTCCCTGTGTTTATATTTGCATGCACCACCACTGTCAGAGCTATTGCACTTTTTTCTACTGCTGAGATGGGGAGTACTTCTGCATGAGTTTGGTTAAGTCTTCATCAAATTTCTTCTCCATCTCCACCTCCTCCTCCCAGTGTCTCCTTTTCATAGCAGCAATGCTCTCCTCGTGTGCTTGGAAGAGCTTTTCCTTTTCTTCAACAAAGTTTTCCATCTCCTTCTCCTGTACTTCAACAAACTTAACATATCCGTCCACCCTACATCCAATGACATTAAATTCATTGTCAGTCATTGAAATAAAACAAAACTAGTGTCATGTGCTAAACTTTAGATATGAATAGAAAATCATAGTCTCAAGGAAAGAAAATTCCTTACTTGAGTCGACGTTCCTCTGCATTGAGAGGACTGGTACTTGACTGCTTAACCTTCTCACGTTCCTCTTGCTGCATCCTTTCAAAGTTTTCTTCTTTTTCATTCCTTGAATCGTGGATGCTAGTAATCTGTTCCTTGAAGAATTGTTCTTGTGCGTACATCTTCCATCAAGTAGCAGGGACAATGGTGACAAAAAGTAACAACAGTAAGAAACACAGAATTTAAGATAAGAAAACCATTAAGGAGACTGAGGATAGTCATTCAAGTGTGGAAAACTAACAAATAACAATTCTGATGCTTCAGGAGTAAGCATTTTATTGTAAAACAAGTGAACAATAATTTATTTTTGAAATTACTAGGACACATGGTAGAGAAATTATCTGATTGTTTAGAATAATCACCAATTAGTCTGGAAAACTGGTTTATTGATACTATGCATCAAACCTCTACAAAATATAAGTACTCAACCCCAAATCCAAAAAATTTCAAAGCTTTCATTTAAAAGCAACGCAAAAATCACGTCTGGATAAATATCGAAAACATTATGGGCTGGTACCAACTCATTATCATTTCTCATTGACGTGTTTACTTTTAAGAATAGGGGAAAAGATGCTGCACCAACGACTAACCATTTTGTGGCAGTAATTGTATTTCTATCTTTGTTTTCCTAGCTAGTCAACTTTGAAAGATCAGAGTGCAGTTTAATGGGCACATAAATCACATTTCTATGTACAAAACCATCTCACATTAAAAGAGATTGAGAATGTGACATTTTTTTTAGCTTATCCATTTTCTTGGACTACAAAAACATAAATAACAGCATAAACATTTCAACAAGACATCCAAGCAGAAGCATATCCTAACCTCAACTTGATGATCCAGAAAAGTTATATACTAGGAGCAAATTAAGTAATAAAAAGTAAACCAGATAAGTAATGTGTCTGAAGTCAGTATTACCTCTTCTTTAATCTCCTCATGCTGCAGTTTAGTTCTCCGCCTCACAATGCGGTTTTCTTCCATTGTTTTCCGCAGCTTCTCAGTTACTAAACCAAAGGATTCTTCCATAGCTTTCGAGTGTTTTTTTTCTTTGACCACCTTGTTCTTGAAATAGTTGAGCTGCTGGTTGTCCTCACTCATCTGACGGATTGGGTTTACAACCATCTCTATATATGATTTCAGTTCATACTTTAGTCTAGTCTTACCTACAGAGTCAGATGAAAAGAGATAAGAACATGTTAGCATATACTTTACTTACATCATTCTGGCTTGGTTGACCCACAACTGGCAGACATCAAACAATCTACATAGTGAAAATATATAGAGAAAAAATAACTGAAGAGAATGAACCTTGGCAATGCCTGTTGAAAAACTCCAGGTCTTCTGTAGTAGCCAGGTATCCATAGAGCTGTCGATTACCACCAGGGAGAAACAAAATCCGGCGATTACTAAACCAAGTCTCCTTATCCGTTCCTTGCTCAGCAAAATGTTTGTGCAAACGTTCTGCCTCTAGATAGCCACTAGCTGAGGCTTCAAACAGCAAAACACTCATCCCTCGATGACCTTGAGGGCCATATGAGTGTCTTGCTCTCATAGCAGCATAAGAGCTAAAATAATCAAGAAGCTCTTGGTTGCCCATGCCTAACCACTGTACAAAAAGCACAAAATCTAAAGTTTACACAAAATCCAGCAATGTTCTCGTACAATTGTGAATGGTTTTACACTATTAATACAAAGATGACAATAATAAATATGATATTGCTAGTTTATTCATCATTCAGCATTTGATGTGTATAAGAAATATAGCTATACCTTCTCATTATCATCTTGCTCAAGCTTAGTATTCTGAACAATGACCATCGGGGGCCAAACTATTTCATGATCTTTCTCTACTTCTTTCAAACCTTTCCATTTTCCAAATGCTTCCCCAGCTGGAACTACTGTAGTGCCCCTTCTACGCAATTCCTCGTCAAGAAGTACAGCAAGCTCCCTGTGAACCTTCACCCTTTTTGAACCCTTCGTTTTAGCATGATTCATAAGGGGCTGCAGTCCTCTGTACCAATCAATAGCACCAGGACCACCTTGACAACCTGGGCAGTGCCACTGTCTTTCTGGTTCATTTATCTCTTCAACAGTCAGTTTATCCAAACTCTCAAAGAACTTTCTGAACCATTTGCTCTTCTTTCGTGTCTCATGGCTCTTTTGACTGGCATCCGAATCATATTCATCACTAATAAGATCATCATCAGTATCTTCCAGATCATCGCAGTCATCGTCCCCCTCATCATCATCCTCATCCTCATCATCATCCTTATTCTGTTCAAACTCCTGTAGTGCCATTTCAATTATTTCATTTGTCTGCATTCCACCAGCTCTGGATTGCCAGTTCCAGCCATGTTCAAGAGGAGGACGGATGATTGGATTTGCAGTAGCATTGTATCCATAACCACCTGTTGCTGACGGAGGCCTTGCATTGCCTCTACCAGCAGGTCTCATATGAGCATATTGTGTCTGCCATGGGTTTCCAGCGCCTCTTCCAGCTCCACCGGGATTACGTGCACCTGGCCTTTGAGCTACATCTGTATACCCCCGTCCTCTAGGATTAGAAGTATAGGCTGGACCTGGAAGACCCCATTGTTTTGCAGCATTTGCAGCATTACTTCCACCTCTGTTCTTGGATTTCTTTCCATACACCTCCCATTGCCCGTCGTCATCTTGTCCTGAGCCTAGGTTAACATCAGCAATACCTTGAGTCAGCTGCTCAAAGTTGGAATCAGATTGGGATATACCTTTCCCCTTGGACGAAAATTCATCACTGCTGGCAGCAGTAAAAGACCTCCCACCTCTTCTAGAACTCATTTCTGTGACCTGTTTTGAATCATAACTTCTGTCAGTCAATCATTAATACAACGATGAAATGCTTAAAGAATCATAGCACAGAAGGAGCTCAACAAAATATCCTTCGATGTAATTCATCAGTTGAAACAAAAAATGGCAAATCGGCACATAGCAACCTACAGAAGCTAATAAAACCCCCATGGAAAAAAAAACTATTCGCTCAAAAAAGTAACATAATCTGCACTATGTTACAAACTCATACAGAAACACAGAAAGATAAGAAATAAAAAGAAAATATCTAAGGTGGAATCTCAATACAATGCTCTACATAGAGTCCAACGCAATGTACACTACAACAAGCAAAGGTTTCCACACGATCAAATGCAGGGAAATGCCTTTAATTGCAGCGCATAACAAAGAGAGAAAATCCTATCTGATGAAAAAAAACTTACAAACAACCAATGCTCGATGTCAAAACTTATATCATCAAGAAAACTCATAGTAACACATACAAGGGTGAAATGGTTAAAGAGTCATAGCACAGAAGGAGCTCAACAAAATATCATTCACTGTAAATTCATCAGTTAAAACAAAAAATGGCAAATCAGTGCATATTAACCTACAGAAGCGGAGTATAACCCCCATAGAAAAAATATGAATAGCTCAAATAAAGAACATAATCAGCACTACGTTACAAACTCGTACATAAACACAGAAAGAAAAAGGAAATATCTAAGGTTTCCAACACAAAGTTACAATGCTATAAGATCAAATGTACACTACAACAAGCAAAGGTTTCCACGAGATCAAATGCAGGAGAATGTCTTTCATTTCATAACAAAGAGACAAAATCTACAACAACAACCTGAAAACATGCCAGAAAACTCATAGTAAAAGACACAATAAAATAGGTCAAGAATGAAAAAGAAGAGAAAAACATAAAACCTAGAACAGATAACATGCCAAAAAAATCATAGGAAACGAACTGAACACGAACAAGAAAACAACGGAAAAACCTCATTTCATTTCTTATTTTCTAACATTTTGCGTTTCTTAATTTCATTTTCGGAGCAGAAAAGAGTACGAGAATGCAAATTACACACAACAGACCAGTTTTGACCTAAGAATCGTCATCGGAGAAGCAATGCCGGTAACGGAAAAACACAGAACAAAACACAATGCGAAACCGTACAACAGGTTAAAGAAAGAGTGAAAGAAGTGAAAATCAGCAAGAGTGGGAGAAATCACCGGTGTTGGAAGGAGGATCGGCTGAAGGAACGTCGGAAGAGTAGAGGCAGTTGAGCCTCACGCGTGCCGGAGTAAGCGAGAGTGAGGTTTAGAGTGAGAGTGAGCAAGAAATGAAACGAGAAATTTGGGACCAAAGTCTCATGAAATAGAGACTACGAGTACGATCTTATAAACAAACAAACCAGGTGGGTATTTCATGCCGGACTTGAAATTTTATTCAATGTGATTTATTAGGTAAATGATAATAAATATAATATGCCTAAAAGATAAAAATGATATTTATTCGTGTCACCTTTATCCATCTACGCGCGACTTCTAGAATATAGACTCGGTGTCATGTTTATCTGTAACTCGATTTTAATTAGGGTTTATAAAATTAATATTTCCTCCGTAATGATTTATAAGTAAATTTAAATTTTTTTTATATACACTTGATAATTAATATATTTAATTCATATATGAACTAGATAGTCAAATATAAAAAAAAAAAAATTATTTATAAATCGTTACAAAAGAAATAGTATTAAATTTAATAAGATATTTGATTTCACTCTAATCGATTTACAATAAATTATTTTCATCCATATTTTGTCTTCTCTTTTGTTCAATATTCTTTGTATTAATGTTTTTGGAAAATGTGAAATTCAAAGTTTTGTTTGTAATGAAGAAGTTTTCATGATTCAAGTCTATGTTGTCGAGTTTAATGTCGTTTATAATAAGCTGATTCGAAATATATTAGTGTACATTATTAGAAAAATACTATCCGACATAATGGTTTTTAGGGTGGAGAATCAAGTCATGTAGATTGTGATAGACTTAATTTCACAATAATTGAATTTAAGAGACATACTTATTTCATTATGAACCATATTAGACCAAAATATTTATATCAACGTTTTTCTCCTTTTCTATTCTACAACTTCCTCCGTTGCTATTTTTGGAAAATGTGTGATATACTAGCAAATAGAGATGACTTCATGGTCTTCATATTTGCATCAAGTTTAACAACATTTTCAAATAAGACAATAAGTTTGTTTTGGTTAAGAACGCCTTGCATGATAATGCGCAAAGAAAATATGATGAGATTAATAAGAAAACTATGAAGGTGAAAAAAACACAAGAAGGAAGTTGAATTCTGCTGACTTTTTCTGCTTTTTCTTGAGATTTGTTACCAAATTGTGATTGATGATTAAAATCTGAGTCAAAGTCTGATGGATAGCAGCAGAATAATCTAAAGCAGAAGTAAAGAATAGGACAAGACAAACACACAAGTAATTTATCATAGTTCCTCCTACAAATCAAGAGTAGTCAAGTCCCTTTGTATTTCCAAGAGATTTTTCACTATATCTGAATATGATTACAATTTGCGCAAGCACATAAGTAAGAGACTTTCAATGCCCAAACATACAAGTAAGTGACTTCAATACTCAAGCACACAAATAAGAGACTTCTTATTGCTCAAGCATGCAAGCAGGAGATTTTACAAATGCTCAAGCACACAGACAAGAGACTTCACAAATATTTAAGCATACAAGCAAGAGACTTCACTGCTCAAGCACGCGGGCAAAAGACTTATAACAATCTATCTAATAGATAAATGATAGCGATAGAGTAATAGTTAAACTTGATATTCAATCATAGGTGTAAACAAATTACAATATGTTGTACGGTGGGAGAACTGACTATGGTTTTGCGTTTGTTTTCGCAAATGTTTCAGTTGAGCAAGAGTCGCCACCGACTTTTTATTTTATCCTAAGGAAAGGTTTAAAAAGTACAGCAAAAACCTTTGAGATGTTTTCTTGGGTTCGAGAGTAGATTATAGAAAGGGAAGGTATTAGCACCCTTTCTATCCATGGTTATCCATGGGCTCTTAGTTACTTGCTTAGATCAACTTGCCTTATTTTTCAATTGTTTGAAATGGTGCTTTGTGTGTGTGGGTTTGAAAATGTTTTGAAAAGAAGCCAATGTGGTGGCAACCTTTGTAATGATCCATGTTGGGATGTATACAAAGGTGTATGTCTTTTGAAAAGGTTTTCATTTGTTTTTGAAAGTTTGTTTTTGAAAGTGTTGTGAGGTGTGGTTTTTAGAAAATAGGCAAGCGTTTTGTTTCGCAAGTTTGATTCAAGTAACTAAGAGGTTATTTACTCCTAAATTTCTCAAAGATTATTACTATGTTTTAACCCTTTTAACAAGTTTGTTCCACCATTGTATTTGGTGGACAATCTTGTGTTAGGATGTGAAAGGGACGGGCGCGGGTCATCGTTTAGACCATAATTGCAATGGTGCCAAGTATCTTTGGGCAATTTTCTTTAAGGGACTTGATCATTTTTAGGCAACTTTCGAAAGCGTCATCGAGGGACTATGATCATTTGAATTGTGTTTGTTTTGCCCAAAGAGACCTAACATGCAATATGGCCCATTTATTGAAGGCAACAAGTGGAATACCCTAGGGGTGCAAGTGTGATTAGTGTTGTCCATTTTCATGCTTGTTTATCTTGAAATTAGGTCAAGCTATTTTTTGGTTGTTTTTGATTCGCATACAAACTCTAATTCTAACATGGTATGTTTAGAAAGCATTAAAGTGCGAAAAATAAAATTACTAAACTATTACAACACAATATATGGGAAGGAGGGTACAAATGTTCAAATGGGGGTATTTGACAAGGAATTTAAACCTAAACTATTACATCAAAATTGAATTGTTTACAAGATATTTAATTGCACAAATTAAATAAAATAAGAATAAATATGCAAGATGCAAAAATGCTTTTTATATGTATGAAAAAAAGTATTTTTGTATGTCAAATAAACAAAATAAAAAGTATTATTTTTTTGGAGTTTTTTTTTTATTTTTAGGGCAAAACCCTAATTTCATTAAATAAAATGTATTAATTATTTAATATGTACAATATTTGTTTATTATATACAAAATAAAATAAAAATGAAGTATATTTGTCAAAAAAGGTATTTTTTTATATTAAATATTAATAAAAAATAAAAGTGTATGTATTTTGCATTTTAACCTAAATATACTAATATATATATAAATATTTGTATTATTTACTAAATATATATTATATATACAAAAATAATAATATTTAATATTTATTAAAAAAAGTATATTTTATATAAAATATTTTTAGAAGATAAAATAAAATAAAAATGGAAAATAAAATGTGTTTGCACTATTTTAACATTTTTTAAATAAAAGTATGTTTATATATTTATTTATGTACAAAGACTTATCTAAACAAATAAATGCCTAATAAATTCAAAAATGGTTCAAAAAATTATTTTTATATTTTTAATATCATGAGGAAAAATAAATAAGTCAGAATAAAAAAAGAAAAGTCAAAAAATCATGAAAATAAGCAAAATGGGCCTAGGGGGTGTGAAAGTAATAACATGGTGTGAAAAGAAAAGTCAAACAGGCCCAGCCCAGAACCCTGTCATCTTCAACCTCAAAACATGTTTGTTCAAGAAAACACGCGTTTTCTAACTTCCAATTCCTTGATCTTTTGCCAAATCTTCCAACATGAAACCTGTAGAGCTTGAAGCCACGATTCCAGACATATAAAGAAATCAATCTAACTCTCAGAAATGAGAGAGAATTTCTTCTCCCCCAATTCCTGACCTAATTTTTGTTCCATGTTCAGACTTAAAATTCTCTAAGCATACATAATATAAATGAAATCTAATTACATGGGTGTGTTCAGGGCTATGAATGTGACATGTTTTCTTCACAAACTTAAAGCTAACAATGCCTGGATATA